CATTCCCCATCTTGTAGAGTTGGGCCTCCTGATTGTCCAAATGACTCTTTTGTTCCGTCTGGTAGTGGCCTAATCGTTCTATCTGCGAACTGAAATCAGCCAGCTTAATACGATCCACGACCGCCTGTAGGCGTGATTCCAACTCCTTTCCAGCCTCACGCAGTTCGCTGGCCCATTCCACATCCTGGGACAGGTCGAATTGACTTATTTCTTGTTGCACCATACGCGCTACCTCATGCCATTCTCGACTCGTCTCCTCATCGACCACGCCCGGTTGCAGGGCACTCAGCGACCGCATCCAATCGTCTAGTTTTCGATTCAACTTAGCGGCTTCCCTTTGCAGCAGAATGGTGTTATTGGAGGCGTTACAGCTATCCTCATCGAGCTGTCTTGCCGCAGTGGGCAGTTGAGACCTGGTGGTGAGGGTGAGTCTGGCGATCTCCTTTGCTATCTGACCGGCCCGTTCGATTAGGCCGACTTCGCGGTCCGTGGTCGGCCTTGAGAAGCGTGTCTTTAGCTTTTCGGCGCGCCGCTGAAGGCCGCCCAGTCCCTGATTGGCCAGTTCGGCAAGGTCGAGTCTATCGATTTCTGCTTCCACTTCGTCTGTTCGCTGGAGCAGTTCGCCGGTGCATTCGCCGCGGCAATCTATGGCCAGAAAAAAATCAATGAAAAACTCATAAATCAGTAGATAGTCGTCCGCGCAATAGCATTTAACCGTATAATATTAGGCAAAGGTACTTCTTTGACAGATAAATTTGTAGGATATATAAATTTAAGTATTTTTTAGTCTTTTGAAGATGACAATGATAACAACCGAGGTTAAATGTGTACGGATTGAAAACATATTTGCTGAAATTTCTGATGTTGAAAACCCTAAACCTGAAAATGAAATACTAGCCCTAAATAAAACCTAAGTAGTGGTTTCATTTTACTTCGTCTCCTTGTTCACCTCTATAGGACCGAACGTGGCAAGTCAGTGAACGGAAGAACTATTACTGTCCTACAAGATAAATGTCCCTGCAACTGCCTTACATGAAATTTTGGACCTATGCCTACATACCAACTTTTTTCATTTGGCAACAAATACTATCAGCAGCTGAAAGGAGCTCCTGTTGGGTCACCTTTATCGGACTTCCTTTCTGAAGTGACAATGACAGATACTCCAGGCTTTAGTTCTTCCGCTAGTCAACCCTAAGTTGTGGCTACGATATGTTGATGATACCTTCATTATCGTGAGAAAGGATCAGCTGGAATATTACACAACATACTCAACGCCACATTTCCGGGATTTAAATTCACACTCGAAAAGGAATCCGACGCCAAGCTGTCATTCCTCGATGTCCTTGTGCAACGACAGCTCGATGGAAAATCGCGCTTAACTGTTTACCGCAAGGAAATATATGCGGAAGTCATCCTAAACTATGAGAGCAACCATCCTATCTCTCATAAAAGGAGAACTGTTAACAGTCTGTTAAATCGAACAAAAACACATTGTTCGGACAAAGATGACTATAAGAGCGAACTGAATTACTTATTCGGCTTATTTCCTCAAAACGGTTATCCAGGGGAATTGATACGTGGCTGCGTGAGACAACAAACTTCAAAGGGTAAGGATTCAAATACTAGCAATCAGAAGCCATATACTTGGTGTAGTCTTAATTACATCAACTCTGAGTAGCTCATAAACCAACAACGACTTTACGCACCCAACCTGTACACCCTAAGGATAGGTTGAACTATTTAGACGAGAAAGAAGTTAAAAGGTTATATTGGCAAACATATGTTTTCGGCAATTCATCAGCGGGCCAGTACAATGCA